TTGTTGTCCAAGATTTTGGACGGCCAAGACATTGGATGTCCAAGACATTGGATGTCCAAGACATGAGATGTCCCAGGGATGTCCAAGAGATTCCATGGCCAAGATTTTGGATGTCCAAGAGGTTTTACTTCAAGAGGTTGTATTCCAAGACATTGGATGTCCAAGAGGATTGTTGTCCAAGATTTTGGACGGCCAAGACATTGGATGTCCAAGACATTGGATGTCCAAGACATGAGATGTCCCAGGGATGTCCAAGAGATTCCATGGCCAAGATTTTGGATGTCCAAGAGGTTTTACTTCAAGAGGTTGTATTCCAAGACATTGGATGTCCAAGAGGATTGTTGTCCAAGATTTTGGACGGCCAAGACATTGGATGTCCAAGACATTGGATGTCCAAGACACTGGATGTCCAAGAGACTGGATTCTGAGATGTTGGATGTCCAAGCCAATGGATGTCCAAGACATTGGATATCCAAGATTTGGATGTCCAAGATTTTGGATGTCCAAAGCCTGGCATGTCCAAGAATTTGCATGTCCAACATGTTGGATGTCCGAGAGATGCTGGGCTCTCCCCTGTGCCAAAAATCCACCCTCCCAGCAGATCCCAGGATTCGGTGACTTCCGGTTGGCTTTTGGGGTCTCGGTGGCCAAACGGCGACGCCGGAACACGCTGGAACTTCGGAGGAATTTTTTTGGGGGGGCTGTGATTTTTAGGGCTTATGGCTAAAACCACGGGGGTGACCTTGAAGAGTCTGGGATAAAATCCCGAGTTTCCAGCGCTGGGAGGGGTCTCCGGCGCCGTTGGGCGGAACCGGTGCCGCACTTGGGCGCCCCCGGCTCGGCCATTTGCATCTTCGCCCCAAAAACCCTCCCGGCTCGTTTTGGTCGCTCTCACTTCCCCTTTGGGGGGTTTTTTTACCCCAAACCCTGGGGAAAAAAACATCCCTGACCCTCCTCGGGGTCATTTCGGGCAGTTTTGGGTCAAATCGTGACCAAAACCCTTCGTTTCTGAACGTTTTCCTGATTAATTGGCAAACGGCCCCGCGAGTCTCGGCACAACCTCTGAAAATGGGAATAAACCCCCCAAAAAAGCCCAAATAACCCCCAAAAGTGCCCCCCTGGCGTTCCACCCCCACTCCAGCAGCACTTCCTGATTTTTTGGGGAAGATTTTGGGAAGATTTTTGGGTCAAATCAGAATCAAAATTCTCCATTTATTAACATTTCCCTGATTAATTGGCCACAAAAACTCATCACCTCCAAAAACGGGAATAAACTCCAAAAAACCCCCAAAAATCTCCCCCTGCTGTTCCACCCCCACTCCAGCAGCACTTCCCGATTTTTTGGGGAAGATTTTGGGAGCCGTTTGGGGTCAAATCCCAACCAAAGCTCTCCATTCATTGCCATTTTCCCGATTAATCGATCAGCAACGTCACAACCTCCAAAAATGGGAGTAAATCCTCAAAAAACCCCCAAACGCCCCCAAAAATCTCCCCCCTGCTGTTCCACCCCCACTCCAGCAGCACTTCCCGCTTGGGGGAAGATTTTTGGGAAGACTTTGGGCGGATCCCGAGCCCCGTTTTTGGAGGTTTTCCGCCCCAAACGGGCGGATTTTCCCGGCGGACGGTGGTTTTCTGTTGGATTTTGCCGGATTTTGCCGGATTTCGGTGGATTTCGGAGCGGGGGGAGGGTCAGCAGGGCCGCTCACAGATCCAGCGCTCGGGGCTGAAGCAGGGCAGGTCGTTCCAGAGGCCGTTGGAGTAGATCCCGGCACAGTCCTCGCCGTGGTGGCCGACGTCGTTGGGTTCGCCGCTGTTCCAGAACCTGCGGAGCGGACGCCTCGTTTTGGGGGGAATTCCCTCTTTTCCGGGATCACTCGGATTTTTGGGATGAGGTGGCCCCACCCCCGAGCCCTCGGTGTCTCCGGGGAAAGGCGACACTCCCAAAAAAAACCTCCCCCCTTTCAAGTCTCCGGGATTGTCCTGCTCTTCCCGAAATCCCGGGAATTGGGGGACCCTTTGGAACGAGCCTTTGGATTTGGGGGGTTAATCCCAGAATTGATCCCAAACTGATCCCAAACTCACTGGAGTTGGAGGGCCCCCCCGGTGCCCCAGTGCCTGGGAATTCCCAAGGGTTGGATTTGGGGGGTTAATCCCAGAATTGATCCCAAACTGATCCCAAACTCACTGGAGTTGGAGGGCCCCCCCGGTGCCCCA